CCAAGGACTGCAACATCTTTCGCACATCATTCTGTATTCAGCTTTATTCTCTCCAATTTCCACAATGTTTTGTCATTGGCTATGCAAATAATTGGAATTCTACCACTACAGTATAGATGATAGGGTACTTTGCTTCATGAAACATTTCTTTCCTCTAAAACAGGGGTGAAATGCTACCTGTTCGGACCGGTGTAAACCGGTAGTAAAAAATGCTACCAGTTCGCCTGAACTGGTAATAAAAAAATGCTACCATATTTCCGACAATCAGCTGTGACGCACGATTTGTATTAGCTAGAATTGTCGGATTTCCTGCTTTCTAGGTAATCGAAATCGCGTAGCACAGCGGATTACCCCCCCTCGCTATTCTACTTACCTTTGCAGGTGCACTCAGTAGCAGGATCCACCCATCCATAATCATGTCTCGTTTTTTATGCTCTGCGCATGCGAGGAAGGTCCTGCGCATGTACGGAGGTAGCACATGTGAGTGAAATGAACATGCACTAACGCTCACATTTGCAAACCGTAGCGATAGTAAGTTGATTTCACCCCTGCTCTAAAAGCAAAGTAGCCACATTATATCACTTCATCTTACAGGCCCCTTCCAGCTATTGGGACTGTTGGAGGAAGATTTGAGACAACCTAAATAGCCAAGGAGAATCATGTCGCTCCCTTGCCCAGGCGTCATTAAGATACAGGAACTCCATACCACTTCCTGTAAACTTATCGAAAGAACAAAAGAAGAAAACAAACCTTAGTTTCTGGTTGTTAAGGTATGGATTTGGAACAGACAGACTAAAGTCCATCCCCAATTAAATACATAACATACAGGATGACTTTAGGTGAGTCATTCTCTCAATCCAACCTTCCTCAAAGAGTGTTTATAGTGGCGATATAATTACAGACAACATCCACTTAAGCTATTTTCAGTTATCAAAGTAAAGGCTACACACACAGAGACATACACACTAAATAAAGCAAAAAAGGAAACCCACAATCTCTCCCTCTGAGCTGCCAAAATCCAGGTGAAGCATCTTGGATCCATCATCTGAAGACATCTGCAGCTTCTCAAAGGGTTGCTGGAGAAGAACAACATTGGTGAGGCCTGGCTCAAGGGTGGAAATGGTGAAACCCTTGTCAATATGGATGGACAGGGTGCAGTCCCTCCCATTCCATGTACAGGCTAAGGGGGGAAAAACAGAAAAAATATATAAATCTACTTCATTAGAAGAAGAAGCGATAATTTTAGTGGAGAGGACAAAAACTAAATGTTAATTGCATTCAAATGTAATTCAAATTATAAATCAAATTACCGCGAGTTACTTCACTATGTACCAAATTATTTTCTACTTCAATAATACAAACATTAAAGGGGACGAAAAGAAAAAAAGGACTTCAGTCAAAAGTACTATTACTCATTTTTTGGGCATCACAGTTGTTACAAAAAGTATTGGCAGCAACTAATCTACAACTTTCATGAGGGACTGGGTTTGCTAACTTTATTGCCAATACTGGCCTCTCTCGTAATAAGTTGCCCTGTCATGCTTGAAATTACTAAATTAAGCAGCACAATAAGATTCTTGCCAAAGAATGCCTAATTCTATATTGGTATTACAATGCAGAATTGGCAAGCAGAAAAGTTTTCCAAGCAAGCAGACCCATGCTGACATCCCAGTTCATTAAAGTTTCTATGGGAAACCCCAAGCATGAAGCCCATCTGCTTGCTCACCAGTTGACACTTCCTGGACACACTCGGCCGCATTATGGCAACCATCCACCAGCATTCTTGTCCATGTGGCTAAGTCCCGTTGTGTCTCCACACTAAACAGATGTGTTTCCACACCTTTCTTCGTTCCAGTCCGCAAAGCGAATGAGAGTTCTGTGTCGTACAATAAAGAACCTTTTGATGGGCCAGAGTGCACAAGCCTGGATGGATCAGGGGGTGGAAAAAAATAAAGTTTTAGATATAAAGATCATTAATTGCAACTGGATACGTGGCTCTTTATCAAGTACAAAGACAGGCTTATTGTTAGGTAAAGTGTGTAGCAGTCGCCAGAAAAAAACAAGCCGTTTTTGAGTTTTCTGTTATTGACTAATCATGTGTGATAGTAGCCACTAGAGGCCACTCTTGTACCATTGTTGTAGCTCCCTCAGGTTCCCTATCTTGCACTAGGCTTCTGTACAAGAGAAATAATAATAATATTAATAGTATTAATTAGATCTCTTTTTCCTTTTCCGGCTCTATTTCTCTCTTTTTCATTCATGCAGAAACACGGAGTTAATTAATAACTGGACTCCGATATGAAGTCCTTTGAAGTTACAGATCCAATCGCACTCTAGCAATAGAAGGTTGCTCTTGGAAGTTATTAAAATGACTCTAGGCAATTCCTTTTTTAAAAAAATCAACAAAGGAAGAGACTTGATTACATTTAGAAATGAAATTAACATCCCAGGAAGGGCCATGCATACGAACTAGGTCCTTAAGTGCCTGGTGAAATTGTTTCCAGCAAGAGAAAACGCAGGTGGGAACAAAAGGCCAGGGCCTCTGTATCCAAGACAAAATAAAAGAACACAATTCAATCCAAGGAGCAAAGGACTAATCACAACGATAAAAAACATTCTTTCTCAACTGCAAGGGCAACGCAAACATTTCCAAGGGCCAATTATTGAGAAGACTTAAGGGAATTCCCAGACTCTTCAAATAAATATTTTACCAAAATCTCAAGATAATGAAATCTCATGTATGTAAAAGGTGATTTGAAAGGGTGGCTTTGCTGACACATTAGGGCTTGGGAAGATGTGTCATTTATTTTGCTTCCTATTTAGGATGACCAGTTATGTTCCTCTTCTATTTCTGTCATTCTCTTGGCACAAGGTGGCAGTAAAACCTTAGAAAACCCTCAGGGCACCAGGACAAACATTCTTCCTATGGGGACGTTTGCACTATTTCTGATACAAGCATTTGAGAAACCTGCTTTCCCTACCCTTTTCCCTCTAAAATTCCCTAAGTCTATTTAATAGATTTAAGAATGCCTATATGATAAAAAAATTGCATTTTGGGAAGAATTTTAGCTTCCTTTTTTCCAATCAAAATAATCTCAAACAAACAAAGTGTAGCAGTGAAGCTGGTTAAGTGCCAAAGGAGGTGTTTGTGGAAGCATTTTTGCCCATCAATACAATATTGCTCATCCTGGTATGTTTTTCACTGGATATGTTCTCCCTTTATTGGAACATCCCAGTCCTGTAGAATGAATGGCTTGCAGGCATAGGATGGAAGTAAACTTTGCACTGATTGCCGGTGCAGAAACTGAGGATTGCATTCATATGGACCTGTCTCCAAAAGCTTCAAGTTATGATAGATAGATAGGTAGATAGGGAGGGAGGGAGGGAGGGAGGGGGAGACAGCAGCCAGAATGCATTTACATGAAGTTGCAAGAGACCAATCTTTTATGACTCCAAGTGTACTTCAACAACAACAAAAAAAAAAAAACATTTTGCTACACAACCTCCCTCTTTCACTTTGTTCCACCTCTAGGGCAGCTGCAATATAAGGATCAGCCAGGATGGACAGAAGACAGTACTTCATTAAAGAGGGAACATTCCCTGGAGCTAAGATGCTGTAACCCAGGGGTGTCAAACTCACGTCGTCATGCTGGCTTCGCGTGACGTATTGGGACTGCCCCCCCCCCCCTTTGCTAAACCAGGCGTGGCCAGTGCGTGATGCATCCAGCCTGTGGGCTGCGAGTTTGACAGCTCTGCTGTAACCCATTATTCAAAAATGTACCTTTTCCAAAATGCCTTCCCTGNAGAGCTGGCAGCAGATTCGGACAGTTAGGAGGTTGGGAGGAACATGGGCCAGTCCTGGAGTCTGGGGAAGGCTCTGATGAGGGCTCTGTGTCAGGAGGCAGAAAAGAGGCCACAGGTGTATGCCAGTTATCAGCTGCTTTCAGAGTCAGACATCAGTGAGGCAGATGAATAGCTGGAGCCTGTTTCCAGTGTGCACATGCACAGAGTTTCCAGACAAAGGGGACAACTAAAGAGCAGGGGTCGACGAGAATAAGGCCAGATGATGAATGGCCCCTCCCAGAGGAAATAAAAGAGGTGTGAAAGGGGAGTGGAGCTTCAAGGAGACAATTAGTTCTCTAATTCGTTGGTGACTCTTCGAGACTCCTTGCCAGGTTCTGCAGATATCGACCTGTCAGCTCTCCAAGCCAGATAAGATGTGTGATCGTGAATCCTTCTCGGTTGTGAATGAGAAGAATTCACTGTAAATTAATAAAAGGGGATTTTGTTGGGACAAGGAGTTTGCTGCATACTCTTGGGAAGCCTCGATCAGAACACACAGGACAACAATCTTCCAGGCTATCGAAACACACAGAAAAGCCTTCCTTGTGTTGTGGCCAAAAGTGCCGAGGAGAATCAATCGGGGGAACCGATTGGCACAATATATCAAAAGATGGTTTTCTCTTCTAAAATGGGCTTATCAACTTTTAAAGAGACCATTCATCTCAGCAAGCTTTCCGAAGTTCCCTTTTGTAGGAAATCTGTGGTCAGTTGTAGAAACAGCTGGATCTCCTGGTACCAGCTAAGAGGCAGATTAAGACAATCACTATGATTTTGAAAACTCACAGTATGCCTGTTCTTAGCGCTACACACCTGAGACAAAGCCTTTTTGTCCTTCACAGCTGTAGGATCTGTGTATCTTTCCCATCGTTTATGTATTCCTCTTTCCTGCTCATTTATATACGTAGAATGGATGTCTTCATCAGTCACTTCTATTATGCCATCAGCTAAAGTTCTTGTTATAAGTGCAATATAATCTAATCATTGTTTGTTTAGCGGCAATCTATTTCTTGCAGTGTTATTTTGTGCTCTGGTGAATACTAATAGCATACACACAGTGATATAGTTGGAGAGTTATGTACATAAAATCACCCAATTCCACAGCACATATTTTGTGCCCATAAAATCACAGGGGCCATTCCTGCCTCTCCCTTTAGAAACCTCTCCCAAGACAAAACGGCATGCTATATTTGTTTGTTCGTTGCAGCAACACTATAATCCTCGGTAGGAGAAAGATTTACTCCTTTGTCTTCTGCATTTGCTAACAACAGTGAGGAAACGGCTGCGGTTGTGCAGAAACTGAAAAAGAAAAGCTGAATAAATCAAGCATGGCTGCCCCCTTTTTTTAAAGCAGCATTGGGTAAAAGGTGATTGGGTTGTTTGCAGTGGTGAAATTCAATTTTTTTTACTACCGGTTTTGTGGGCGTAGCTTGGTGGGCGTGGCAGGGGAAGGATATTGCAAAATCTCCATTCCCACCCCACTCTGTGGCCAGCCAGAGGTGGTATTTTCTGGTTCTCTAAACTACTCAAAATTTCCACTACCGGTTCTCCAGAACCTGCTGAATTTCACTCCTGGTTGATTGGATCTAGTTTAACCTTTGAGGGACCAATTTGCCCAACCTTCTGGATCCTGGGATCCTATCTAAGAAACTCTGTAATGACAACTTAAAATTTCTATGTACATTTGACATTTCTAAAAATTATCATTGTCAGCATTCATTTAGTTAATAGTCATGCTGTGTTTAGAAAGTGTGTGTTACAGTTCCCCTAATCTTAATTGACTAATATATAAATTAAAACTTATTAGAAGAGCAAAACATGAAAAGTTGCGTAGGCAGTTTTAATATAGTTAACATTATTAAACAACAGGACCCTGATTAGACTGATAACCATGGCAGCAGTTGGCAGCTAGAAAGCCACTCCAATTAAAAATTAAATTGAAATGAGAAAGCCACTGTTGTGTCAAAAATTGATAAATTTCAAGCTCAATGAGTAATTCCAAACATTACTTTCAAGATAAATTGGAAAAGGTTTGCTTTAGTCATCTTCAGCAATCTAGATTTATTCTGACAAAAATGAAAACAAATTTCATGCACAATTTTAGCTTATAAAATTAATTGCTTCCCCTGTCAAAAAAAGCACCTCCAGTTATATTTGACAAATAAAAACTATGGGGCTAAGATTAAGCAAAATTAAAATTATTTCCTGCTGTTTCCTTAAAAAAAGGCTTCTGTAACTATCTCCAAATTTTAGCTAAATAAAAAAGGTTGGTTTTAGACAGTTAACTTGTATCTGCTGCGTGTAAAAAAATGGCTTTATGCTAAATCTTATGCACTTTCACTGAATTTTCAGTCCAACCCAATGCATATTCACTTAAAAATAAATCCTTCTGGCTTCAGTGGATTAATCCCAAATAGGTCACTACACTGTAGTAGCTTGGGTCTAAAATAGTGTTTAAACTCTAGACTAAAAGCCACTAAGACAGCAAATGAACTATATATAAATATAAAACCTTGATACAAATAAATTTGATACTGTATATATATATTTACGTATATATAAAATATCATCTTCAAGGCACTAATATGATGGCTAAATTGGATTGGTTTGACACCTTCACCAGTATCATCTCTGATGTAGGAGATGGGATGGAGATGTAATATATCCTATCTTGGTATCAGTCGTCAAGTCTTAAGATGAAAATTCTGGACAGCTGTCTGTTCGCTTCCTTCTGCTGACCTGGAAGTCTAACAGGTGGGTATTTTTTAGCTGTGGGTGCTTTGCACCATGTTGTTCTTGCTCCAGTCGGTATTTCAACCCTTTATTTTCACCATACTGCATAGATTGCATGAAGTCTTGCTTCTCTCCATAGTTCGCTCTTTGTCCCTATGCCAATAACCCAAGCCGGGTCACCTTGGCAGAGAGGAATGAGTGGATGATGAAGACAATTGTTTTGGGACAGGAATGAAGATCTAGTTGCTGCAGTGAAAGGAAATACAGATATTGATGAGTAAGCTATACGCCACATTTCGCCTCCCTACATTTTCTAGTCTATGCCACTAGCTGGGTAATAGTCAGCAAGT